CGGGCTCTCACTCCCCAGCACTTCAAAAATCGCATAAAGATGTCAATGATTAAAACTGGAATAAAACAAAGCGACATGGTTTACTTTAGACTTCCAAAGAAAGACAGAAGGAAATTTTATGACAATTTGAAACAAGAACTCTGAGAAGATATAGCATGGCACCCTGGCTCAGGCAGGGAGGTACCTGCAGTCCAATAACAGACATGAACCCCAGTCTACTGAAGAGCACGGTGGGTCAGCGACAGGACGTCAGAGTTCAAAAACCTCAGTTGCTGACTGTGTGAGTGACCCTGGGCATGTGACTCGACCTCTCTGTGTTTCAATCCCCTCATTTGTAAAATAGAGTGTGCAACAGTACCTGTCTTTATCTAAACCCTTGTGGGATTATCATGAAACCTGAGTGAGTTCGTTATTTGTAAAGCACTTAAAACAACACCTGCCCAACAGTGAACACTGTAAATGTTGTTAAATAAACGTCCACTTACAGAATTCTTGGGAACAGTAAGTAAAATATGTGTAATCTATTTATTAACGTGACTGAAGGAAGCTGTCATAAATTTTAAAAATTAGTGGATGCAGATCTAGAGAGAGACAATTTACAGTTGACTTCAGGCCTGAGATCACCCAAAGCAACTCCTCCTGGTGTTGAAAATAACCTAAACAGAAGACTGGACTTCCCTGTGCGTCGAGCACTGATGGAGCTTCACCAGGCATGCTGTTTGGAGCGCTAAGCGCCCAATCTCTAAAAAACTCACTCCACCTCCACAAGCCCATGACTTGAGGACCAATGACTTTCTCTATGGATGAGACTGAGGCTCAGAGATGCAAAGGACCTTGTCCATGGTCTCCCAGCACTGCAAGGTACAGCCAGAACTGAAATCCAGATAGGCTGGGCTCCAACACCAGTGCACTGGAAGAACACAGAGAGCCATGGTCACTGCAGTCTCCGATCATAAACGGTTTCTGAAAGTGCTAATTAAGACGCTCATTGATATGTAACCATAATTTTAAATGAAGTACAAACTGTCCCCAAACTGTAAAACTAAGCTTTTTGAGGGGAACATAGAATCATCATTACCAACTGTAAACCACCCAGAACTCCACAAACTGAAAAGAAATAAGATTCTCCATATTACCCCCGTCATCCAATACTATTTCATTCTACTGGGGGAAAAAAAAAATCTCTGGCTTTCCCAAAGAATTTCACACATATTGACTTACTTTCTCAAGTAACACAGAAAATCATTACCAGTCACATCCTGCAATAAGAGAGAAGATGAAAGGAGAAAAACAAGGGACCCTTATTTTCCAGAAAGGATTTTTGAAAGCAACACTGCTGGAAAAAAAACTATCCTGCCTGATCCCAGTGCTCTGTAAATACATTTTTAAAGTTATTTATACAAATCAAAATGTGCAAACTGCCAGAAGAAATACACTTCTTTAAACCAAGGAGGATCTTGCTTCTGGTTTTCTTTAGAAATCTGAGGTTACATACATACAGAAAGCAGAATTTTATTATTTTAACCACACATAAAAATAAGTGTGATAGTTTGGTCTCCAAAGTTCCTGAATCCAATGGGAATAAGCTGTCCCCTCACCACCATCTACCTGACAGTGGATTCTGTCCTTTTCACCATTAACATAATGTACGTAACGCCTGTATGTAAACAGGGGATGATAACTTTGTCTGCCCTGCAGCTCATGTATTTCTCCCACCTTTGTCCTGTATTTCTTCCCACCTTTGACCTGCATCACTTTGGGCTTCTGGAGCTTTCCATGATGATTAAAGGAAGAAGGGTCCCAAACAGAAAGTTTTCAAAAAGAGACCCCCTCCCACCACCACCCTGTGCTAGTTTACTGAAAGATGAGAGGCTGCCCTTTCCAAGCCCCTGGCCACCCCTCTTGCAGGAAGCCCTGGGAGGTGGGTAACCCAGAGGAACATGTCCTGCGAGCTCCAGTCCCAGGGCTCAAAACACAAAATTTTGCAATTTGTCCCACTTCTGTAAAGCTCCATTCAGAGCAGACTACTTTGTTTTCCAGGAGATGTGTAATTTTAGGCAAGGTTTCTGGAAGACAAGACACTGCAATTAATGTTGAGTGAGGGAGTGTGTCAAGGACACAGGAACTTTTAAAAATGTCCAGTCACATCTTCACCATCTCCACAGAGTTTGCTGACTTTTTAAAAAGACTATACAAGGCTCTGTAGGAAACTGAAAAAACAAAACAAAACAAAACTCTAAAAGTGAGAGAAAAAAAAGTGTCAAGGAAAAATAAAAATATACATTCTATTTTTCACATAATGTTCTGCCAAACCCCATGCCCCACGACCACACACATTTCTAGACACTGCCTCAGGCTGGGTGAGTGGCCAGGCCCCGAAACCAAGGCTGGGAAAGCAGCAGCGATGAGACTGGCTAAGAAGCTGGAGTGGGCTGTGGTGGTCACACAGCCGCCAGTCACTTCCAGCAAACCCTCACCGGAAAGCCAATCTCTGCACTTAGGGTGCTGTGCTAACTGTAAAGTCTCTCTCAGCAATGTTGATTCCTCATGTCAGCATGTCATTTAGGATTAGTGAGTTTCAGATTTCCTGTTCTGTGAAACATTTACTTTACACAAGTTATCAGGAGATAACGTGGTCCTCACCAGTTTCCTGCTTATCTGGTCTTTTCACTGCTAACAGAATGTATTCTCTTCCATTTCCTTGTTTCAGAGAGCTTTCCACCATCAACTTACAGGAAGAAAAAAAAAAGCCTCCAGAAGAACCTCCTGGTCTCTCTGCCCACAGCACCGTGACCCAGGGGTGCGCCAGCCCCGCTGCAGCGCCCGCCCCTTTCTCAACGTGATGGCACCACCATTCTTCAGTTATCACAGTACTGTACCTTTCAGACACACAGCATCGGTACCATGATAACCGAAAAAGGACAGTTCAGTCTCATACCTACCTGAATATTCTCTTGCACTCAAGGCCCACACCTCCCAAGCTACCCTCCCATAGGTGGCTCCAGAACAATCTTCAAGGACACAGACACATGCACAGAGATATCAGTGCTCAAAGGGGCTGTTCACAGCAACCTCATTTACTATCAGGAATGCTTTTTCACTGTGCTGTTTAGAATTCAAATCTTCTAAAGATCTGCTCTTTTTGGAGAATGCCTACTTTAATAATCCAGCAGGCAACTTCTGATAACAACCCCTTGGCCTCAAACTCACTTCTGCATTTCCTTCCTAGTCCAGTGGTGTTACTATGAACTTTGTCTTCTGGACAAAAAGGCAGTCTTTTTTCCTATAGCTAGAGAAAAGAGGAGTTTTTTAAAACTAACAATAACACCCAAACTATATATAAATAGTATACCTCCAAAATGGAAATGCCAAAGCCTTTGAATGTGTGGATCACAATAAACTGTGGAAAACTCTGAAAGAGATGGGCATACCAGACCACCTGACCTGCCTCTTGAGAAACCTATATGCAGGTCAGAAAGCAACAGTTAGAACTGGACATGGAACAAAGACTGGTTCCAAACAGGAAAAGGAGTACGTCAAGGCTGTATATTGTCACCCTGCTTATTTAACTTATATGCAGAGTACATCATGAGAAATGCTGGGCTGAAAGAAGCACAGGCTGGAATCAAGATTGCTGGGAGAAATATCAATAACCTCAGATATGGAGATGACACCACCCTTATGGCAGAAAGTTAAGAGGATCTAAAAAGCCTCTTGATGAAAGTGAAGGAGGAGAGTGAAAAAGTTGGCTTAAAGCTAAACATTCAGAAAACTAAGATCATGGCTTCCGGTCCCATCACTTCATGGCAAATAGATGGGGAAACGGTAGAGACAGTGTCAGACTTTATTTTTTGGGGCTCCAAAATCACTGCAGATGGTGATTGCAGCCATGAAATTAAAAGACGCCTACTCCTTGGAAGGAAAGTTATGACCAACCTAGATAGCATATTAAAAAGCGAGACATTACTTTGCCAACAAAGGTCTGTTTAGTCAAGGCTATGGTTTTTCCAGTGGTCATGTATGGTTGTGAGAGTTGGACTATAAAGAAAGCTGAGAGCCGAAGAATTGACGCTTTTGAACTGTGGTGCTGGAGAAGACTCTTGAGAGTCCCTTGGACTGCAAGGAGATCCAACTAGTCCATCCTAAAGGAGATCATTCCTGGGTGTTCATTGGAAGGACTGATGCTGAAGCTGAAACTCCAATACTTTGGCCACCTCATGCGAAGAGTTGACTCATTTGGAAAAGACTCTGAGGCTGGGAGGGATTGGGGGTAGGAGGAGAAGGGGACGACAGAGGATGAGATGGTTGGATGGTATCATCAACTCAATGGACATAAGTTTGGGTGGACTCCGGGAGTTGGTGATGGACAGGGAGGCCTGGCATGCTGCGATTCATGGGGTTGCAAAGAGTTGGACACGACTGAGCGACTGAACTGAAAATGGAAATAAGGTCTAAAGCACAGACAGAACTGTCAAGTACATATCACGCAGCTTTAAGGGAGCGACAGATGGAGAGGAAGAAACTGCAGGAAAGAAAGGAAGGCTGAATCCTTGAGACACCAGATGAAAATGACAACCTCCAGCTCATTTAGGATTAGTACAATCAGGTGTCCACAGGATGGTGTTCAGTATAACGCTTCTGTGGTTTCATGCAACTGGAGGACAGAAATGAAGTCAAAGTCGCTCAGTCGTGTCCGACTCTTCGCAACCCCATGGACTGTCCATGGAATTCTCCAGACCAGAATACTGGAGTGGATAGCCTTTCCCTTCTCCAGGGAATCTTCCCAACCCAGGTCTCCCACATTGCAGGCAGATTCTTTACCAGCTGAGCCACAAGGGAAGCCCAAGCATACTGGAGTGGGTAGCCTATCCCTTCTCCAGGGGATCTTCCTGACCCAGGAATAGAACTGGGGTCTCCCACATTGCAGGCGGATTCTTTATGAATTGAGCTATCAGGGAACAGAAGTGGACAGCATAGGAGGCTGAAAGAAAACAACTCACGTGTAGGGAGAGAGTGGTCCGAGCAGGACTTTGGAAACATCCTGCTGTCCAAGGGTCATGAGTAATAGAGCCAGGCTCTGGTTGGTTGAGTCCACACATCCACCCTGTAAATAAAAACACTTCAAAGATTAATATTGTACCAGTCAGATAATGGAAAACCAATCAAACAGAGGGAGGAAAAAAAAGGACACAGATGTCCAGAGCAGACACACAGAAGAGCAGACTGCAAAGTTCAAACAATAATAAAACAGAATAAGGGTTTTTTCAAGACTTATCCTGATATTAACAACTGTAGGGGCTTAAACAGTTAATCAAAATAATTGTAAGAGTTGAGACTATCAGAATCAATAGACATTGAAGTTTACTGAGGTGTACCTAAGGAAAAATGAAACTTTCCCTTCGGAATTAAACCAATAGCAGGACCTATAAGCAAAAAGGCATAATCATTTATAGGCAAAGCACAGGTAATTAACAAGGTTAAGTGAATGACATTTCTACTCATTAATATCTTTCAGAGACCACCACAGCTAATCTGACATGAGAGGACCTTTCCCTTTCAAGGGTCTTACCTGAAACACTTATTTAATTACATTCAGAAACTCCATGCCATGTCCCATTAGATTCCGCTCTTCAGCTCTTCCTCTGTGCCTTAGAACTGGAGAACCTCCCAAATCCAATCCCTCCACTTTTACTATTTTTGCATTATCTTTCATTTTCCCTGTTCCTCCAAATCAATAAGCAAAACAGAATTCTTTTCAAAAATTTCTCCTGAAGTATAACTGCTTTGGTTGCCTTTCTTTTTTTATTCTTGAATTTCTCAACCACTTCAGCCATTCTTACACTTGATGTGTGCATTCCTGCTGTTACCATTTGTGCTTTAAACAATGTCTTTATTTCAGATCATTCTTTCTGGGATAACTTTATTTAAAACAATTTATTTAGCCAGTTAGTTAGCTATATTTATTCATTTATTTGGCTGCAGTGGGTCTTAGTTGCAGCATGCAGGATACTTAGTTGTGGCATGCAAACTCTTAGTTGCAGCACATGGGATCTAGTTCTCTGACCAGGGATTGAACCTGGGCCCCTTGTGTTGGGAGGATGGAGTCTTAGCCACTGGACCACCAGGGAAATTCTAAAAACAATTTAAACTTGCAATGTAAATAGCGAGAGCAGGATCACCTTGCACATCAACATATTTTGCACACATCATAAGAAATCTAGTTTTTAACCATGACACATCATCATTCAAGGCTAGAATCTCCCAGACTTTGAACAGGCTAGGTGGTCGCCCACTGCTGCTTATGTGAGCACATCTCTCTCCTTTTCAATGTGTGTAGGGTAGAAGTAAGTCAATTCCCACATGTAGACACTCATTCTCCGCCGTTAAGACTTCCTACAATGGAAGTGGATCCTCCAGCCAGGCTTTATGAAAATCTACTGCTCTTCTTAAATCTACCTGAGTTGATAAAGGACAATATTTATCTCCTTTAGCAAATTTTAGAACAAGAGTAATAGCACATATATTTCCATCTAAAAGGAAAACCTGACCCCATGGAGAATATATGGACCAACAACACTATTTCTGTTTTACAGAACTCACTCCATTTCATAAAATTAAAACTGATCTCTTTAGTCTCTACTTCCTTTCACTATAGTGCTATTCTGCCATTCTCAACTGATTTTTATTTTATTTATTTTATTAATTTACTTATTTTTGGCTGCACTGTGTCTTCATTGCTGCTTGTGCAGGCTTTCTGTAGTTGCAGCTAGCAGGGGCTTCCCTTCCTTGCGGTGTGAGGGCTTCTCATTGGAGTGGCTTCTCTTGTTGAGGAGCACAGTTTCTAGAGCACAGGCTCAGTAGCTGTGGCACACAGGCTTAGTTATTCCAAGGCATGTGGGTTCTTCCTGGACCAGGAACCGAACCCATGTCCCCTGCCTTGGCAGGCAGATTCGTATCCACTAGGCCACTAGGAAAGTTCCTCAACTGATTTTTATTATGTGCTGAACCAACACTTTACTACAATAAATATATTAGGGTCTGTATACAGGACACCATGGAGGGAGTGGTGGGGCCACTCCAAAAGCAGAAGATAGGATTCTTGTGCCAAGTAGCTTCAATCTCACTATGAGATATGAGCAGGAACCAGTAACAGTTCAAGGTGAAGATGAAGCTATGCCATTGAGGGCACCAGGACTGCCAAGGTGGTGGGGCAGAGGTAGTCACTCGCCCGGCTCCAGAGAGAGGCTTTGTGGAGGTGGGGATTTGAGGTGGCCCTGGAGTGATGAGCAGGATTTGGAGAGGGAAGAAGAACAGGAGGATGGGGGAAAATACGACCCAGGGCCAGTGATGAACAGCCAGGAGGCCAGCCTGAAAGTGGCTGAGTGCTCTCTGAGGAGAACTACGTGGAACTGCAGGGACAAGGGGGAGCAGGAAGGCTGAGGCAGGGCTTTTCTCACTGGGTCAAGGGTTTTGACTTTATCCTAGGAAAGTGAGAAGCTGGTGAAGGTCTCTGAGCAAAGGAATAACAAGACCAGATCACTGTTTTAGGGGGAGATTTAGACTGAAGAGGATGTTGGAGAGAATGTGGAAAGGATTTCCTCTCTGTAAGAAAGGAGAGCTAGTACGTCTAATGGGAGGAGGTTGGTGTGGAAGGGAAGAGGGTAGTAGATGATGGCAGAGAGATGGATAGGCTAGGGTAGTTCCAGAAAGTCTGGAATGGAATCAAAAGGACTTGCTAACTGATGAGACATAAATGGAAGAAGAGGAATTAGATCAGAGGATTAAAACTTTGGTAAAAATAATCAGTACCAAAGGAGATGGATTTTTATTACTCATTTAAATCATGTCACATCACAGACTTTACAAAGAATTATTATAAAAACATGAAGCATCTTCATCCTTTTTAGCAATTAAAGATCACAGATCCACACAAAAGAAATTTTCTTAATGATTTAAAACAAAAAAACGCAGTCCAGCCACAATTAAATGGTTTAAAGTAAATTTAACTAGAGTAAAGAAAAAAAATAATAATAACCTAATCCAGATTGCATGTTTTCTGTCTTGGGGACTGGTAGACTGTGCTTTCACCCTGAGGCTTATAATCTGCCACTTATGGAGATATAAAACCCACATTCTAGCTGAGCCTGTGGGCTCCCACTGGGCTGTTCTGTAATGAGATACATCCACGTCCCCCAGGTCCACTGGAAAGAGACAGGAGCACTGATGAATGTCTAAGCAAAATGAGCAGTGGTGCAGGTTTGTCTTCAGCATCTCCTGTCACCTTTTCTTTGTCTCACCTTCCCAAGCCCCTACTGTGCTCTTGACACAGGCCTGCCTTCCTTAGACAGTCATCAGTGCTCCCGAACACTGTGCAAAGTCGAGCCTAATGACACTGTTTTTTATCTGAATTAACTGTCACATACAAATCCAGCTTTCCAGTTTCTCTTGAAAAATCTGAGAACGAGCCCTCACCCATGGCGTGGCAACGACTGGGGGGATGAGAGAAAGTCCCTGCTCTGGGCAGGGCAGTGTGTGCCCTTCACTTGGTGAGTCACTGCCTAACCTGCTTCATTTTTCATCTCCTCTCTCTTGCATGACTCTGTTCTAGTTCTCTGCCCTCCCGATCGTTAAAACTTACCTGCTGTTTCTACCAAACCAATGTGGCTGAGTCTCTGCTCACTGACTAGTCAGCTAACCCACTAAGCTAGTTAATGCTGAACTGTCTAAAGGGCAGCAAGAGGTTCACTCCTTGACTGAAGCCCTTAAAAAAGAAAGAAAGTTGCTAATGAAGAAACATGGGAATTGCTTCCGGGTGCTCCTCTCCCAGGCCTGCAGAAGCTGAGGACATACCCGGTAGATCTCTTCGAGCAGCAATCTGGCGCAGTTCCTGCCGAGGTCTTCGGGCAGCATCGCTGCACCCTGGCCTTGGGGGTTGGAGGCCAGCTCAGCACTGAGGAAAGTGCCATTGGTGGTCTCCGCAACCAGGGACAGCCCAAAGCCCGGAGACCTGGAGGTTCAAAGGCACAGACAGTGAGCAGCGTATGAAGCAGGGTTTGCATTCACCGGTCAAAAGAGAAGACAAACATCCCTTTGATGGCACTCTGTCTGGTTACATCAGGCCTTATTAGAGTTCCCACCAGCTCACACTGGAAATACACATGACTCAGTGAGAGCACACACATGGCAAAACCAAAGGTGATGAGAATTTGCACTACTTTCCCTTTCAGCCCTCCCCTCCCCCACACCGTACACGGTGAGAGTTTATATAACACTCCACATATACAGCCACCCTAACAGCTACCAGATATTGAGTTCCTACTCTCAGCAATTTCTGAGCTAGGGGCTTGACATGACTCTGCAGAGTAAATATTACCATCAAATATTACCTTACAACTGAGGAAATGGACAAATCAAGCAACCAGCACCAAGTCCACACGCCCAGAAAGAGACTGATATGCATTTCAAACAGATCTTCCAGAAGCCAAAGCCCACACAAGTTCTCCACTTCCCTGACCCTCACTCAACCACTCAGAAATGTAAGCAGCCTGGAGACCACCTGATTACAGCTCTTCTTGAGAAACAGCAAGCTGTTGCCCCGTGATGAGAAAGACCACCCAAGGAGAAAGGGCCTAGAGAAGGTACACCTTTATGTTTTTGTCCCCACGGGATGTCGCTAACTCATAATTCAATGAATATAATCCAGAAGCCAGTATCATATTCTCGCCCAGGTGTTTTGGCCACCAGCAGCCAGAACCTAACATCCTTCCAGTCCAGGACCACATATGCTTCGTGCACTCATGCACACAAAAAACATTTAGGAGAAAGTTTCTACATACCCAGGAACTGGGGCACACACAGGCCCCTGCTCTCATGAAGCTTAGTGACAACCAGTTTGATGTAAAACAAAATCAGCTGACAAAAATAAACACAAGCATCTCCCCACAAAACTTCTAGATGTGACACCTCACATCTACCTTGCTCAGTGCCTTTTAAACAAATATAGCTGATCCTTGAACAACACAGGTTTGAACTGCTTGGGTCCAGTGACACAGATCTTTTTTTTTCACTAAATATGAACCCCGGATACAGAGGAACCAAAGATGGAGAGCTGACTGCTGGTTTTGACTACAGGGAAGTTCAGCACTCCTAATCCAAGCATTGTTCCAGGGTTAGCTATATCCAGCTCCCAGCAGTACACTCCACATGCAAGCACGATACAGTCCTGCCTCCTTTAACACAATTCAACATACATGTTCATGAAGCACCTTCTATGCATCTAGCACAAAACTAGCCAAAATATTTGTTTCAGAAAAACTACATGTAAAATTATTAATGTACTATATGAGTTCACCACAGGGGGGTAACTATACTGGTTTGTCCTTAATATCTTTAAAAAAAAAAATTGATTGTCTATGCAGCCAAGGGTTAATAACACCTGTCAAGGGAAGAGGGAGCAGTGAGAACACAGGTTCCAGGGCACTCTGAGTCACACTCAACAATCTAACACTGTACTTCCCAGCATGATCATGGGACATTTAAAGCACAATCTCAAGTTGCCTATGACTCACTTGGCCAGGAGGAGGGAGGGGGCACCCAGCTCATCAGCAGAGGCAGTGGCACAAAATGACAAGGAGAAAACGGAGGGAGGAAGGGCCAGGAGACAAGCCACCATCACCGCTCCAACCCACTTAACTGGTAGTTCCTAAGCACCTCCAAATTTTTCCATCCGTGTGGAAAGTTTTTGAGGTATGTGTACTTATTACAATGAACTTCACATTTAATCAAGATTATTCCATTTGATATCGCATTTGTTTTACAGAAAACAACACGATAACATATGAAGCTCTATGCACGTTATGCCAACATCACTCACCCTCCAATTTGGGTTATGTATATTATCAGGCCTATTTCAAGTTATGCTGACAAAGCAGCTGATCACCAAGTGACCTCACTGAAGAAGGCATTTAGTACAGTTTATAGATCACGGGCTCCAAAACTTTCTAATTGATAAAGGGTTAGATTTTTCAAAAAGTCATGACTTTGGGAATCAAAATGGGACCACGCTGGACAAATGCGCACCAGACACAGGCCACCAAGAACTGCTGGCTCCCACGGGACTCTCACTCCCAGAGTTCAGCAAGCTTCACCTACGAGGACACTTCCGTGAATTAGAAAGGGAAAAGACCTACTCACGACTATAATTTCATAAGGGAGAAGGAAGATCACCGTTTGCCAACCGTAACCTGTTATTTAGAAAACAGAATCCAAATTTAACACCGTGCATTGGTTTTATAGGTAAATTTTACCTGTAAAACAAGGCTATATTATGCCTACATCTCCACACACATGTGAGCTTTCTACTCATTATTCACAAGTATGGGCCTTGAGCAGCACAAGGGTCGGCTGGTCAATGATGCCATTATGAAAAGCCACATTCTAGCTGGGAGCACAGTCTTCTGGTCTGCTCTGCTTCTTTGTAGAGCGAGAGGCCAGATGACAAGGCACTAAAGAGATCAGGCCACTCAGACAGCGGCTGGCACCACCCACCCTCCCCCATCCCTTGTAATTCCCTCTCCCCAGGAAACAGCTGACACATAATTCCAGACCTGCAGCCAAGAAGGGAGGGCAAAGGCAAGAACGGCATTAGCAGCTACCATTTCTGCAGCACCTACTATGTGCCCGGCATTGCATTAGGGGCTTACATATGGGACCTTTTCATCTTTACAGTAACAGTAACCTAGGGATGTAGGCGTTATCACTCACATGTTAGGAATGAGGACAACACCAATGGTATTTGAACAATACACCAAAAGTTTGGGACCATCACTGACCTTTCCAACTCCCAGGGAAAAGGCCAGCTTCACACACAAATCCTTTCCCAACTCTAAGCTCTGACACCACCTCCTCTGTTGCTCTGGACAAGGAGCCACCACTGCATTTGTGAAATCTCCTTTATCTTTTCCTTAGGCCTCATGAAGGTCAGAGATTTCATAACACACTCGCCTCCTTCTTTCCCCTCTCTTTCCTTCTTTTGCTGAGGTTAAAGAAAGCTCAGAGGAAGGACTATGAAAGGATGAGCTGTGGTACAACTTAGGAAAAAAACTGATTTCTTATCTCACAATTGTCAATCTCTAATGTTCTTACTTTTATAAGATACAACCTGCAAAGTTCGGGTCCAGAGTGTAAGATACTGTCATTCACACTAAAATGGCTCAGCAAAAACAGAGAAAACTCACATACAAGGAAAGCAAATTTGGCAAAATAATCTCTACCTACAAGTAAGAAAAATATACAAGTATACACTGTATTATCCTTCCAACTTTTCTGTACTTGTAACATTTTCATAATAAAAAAATCAGTGGTTTCTAAATATATAATAAAAGCCTAAAACAGATATTTTCATTACATAGATCATCATTATTAACTTTTTATGTTCTAATGTGAGGTTTTCCACAAAGGCTCTAACTAAACCAAATTAAAATCTGCCATAAGTTTCTCTGGCTCTAAGGGTGTTGTTCCCCTTGATGGAGAGAGAAGCCAACTGGCACTTACGACCAACAAAGGATTTTTTTTCCCTAAATTGTTATTTACTCAGGGTGGGAGAACTTTGTTTACTTTACTTTATAGTGGGAACAGAGGGCAGATGGGATTTAAAGCTGGAGGCACTGTTTATTAATAGCTGGGTTTTAATTCCCTGAGGCTGGTATCTCAAACCCTCATCACCCAGCCCTGGGCATGGTGATGCTTTCCATGTGATAGATGCTCAGAATATACTTGGTGGTGACAATGGCAGTAAGTCAGAAGGAAAAAAAATGTGAATCACTCTTCCTCTGGCTGCCCAACCTCAGAGCTGGCAGCTTAAGCTTCAATCAGAGACCAGGTGTATGAAAAATACTTAGGAAGGCTGCAGAATTAGGCTCCCAAAATGCACAGACACTTACTTCCCAGAGTTGATGCCTTTCATGTGGTCTGTGTAAATATAGATATCGGGTATAAACTTGTTGAGGATGCTCCTTGCAGAATCCACAATCCGGTTTGCCATCTGAGGTGATACACGTACTGAATACCTGCAACTTGGAGTTAAGGGTGTCATTCTGCTTGGACTCCACAGCGGAAAAAGTCAGTCATAAAGCTAGCAAATATTTGTGGTACTGCCATAACAAAATGATGCTTCTAATTTCATTCTATTGTCCACTTGTATTTAATTACTTTGTAGTATCATAACTCAATTTTTACATTATTATTTTTATTATTATATAATTTTTGTATTGTTATAAGTCCTTGATGAAAAATATCCAAACAGTATAGACACTTGAAAAGTATAAAATAAAAGCTGCCAACCCTGCTCTAGGCTGTCTAGCCATTCCCTCTCCTAGAAATGGTTCATCTCAATTTTGGAACAAGTAAAGGCAATTGCTCCCCTGTATGGCATGAGCCAGACTCCCTTTGAAGTATTCTCTAAAAATCCCCACTGCTGTTACCGTTAAGCCTTTCTGTTAGAAACCTAAGCCCAGGACAGACACCCCACTGGGACTGACCTGGGCCCCTGGGTGAATCCACCCCACAGTATGCTGACAAAAGAAGCAGAAAAAAACCTTAGTAAAAGAACACAGTGGGGCTGTCTAAAAAGGTCTAAACAGGTTTTCAACTGAAGAGCCTGTTTCAATTATTTAAGTGTTGACAATGCTATTTATGATGATACAGGCTCCTTGCAACTGCTACCTAATGGTCCAAATAGTGATAATTAGTACTTTTACAAAGGACAGCCTCAGAAAGGAAAGGAAAGATATTGGCAACTCAAATCAACTCAAATTAAAAGAGTGCTGCCTGAGGAATTGGAAACTACTGCCTCAAATTAAACTTTATTACAGAGACTGGTTCTCCCCAAAGCAACCAACCAAGTAAAATGTAAGTATGTACTAAGTACTTCCAATGTCCGATGTATGGTTAGGGGCTGGCTGTGCATGTGGAACAAGGGGCTAAAAAAATGAAGAAGTAACAACACATGATCTTCCCATTACTCTGATCCAAACCCCAGGCACAAGGTCCAACAGGGAAAACCAGGTGTGTGGTCTCCCCAGCCCAGCCCAACTGTTCGAAAATTACTGTCAATAACACATTTAATTTTCATTCGAGCTGCAGAAACAAAAAGCAAAGCTTTTTGGCATCAAGCTCCCCTTTCTGACCCATCCTGGACATCCACCAAAAGATCCAGCTCCCACATGTGAGGGAGAAGCTCCCAGTAACTCCAGGCCCTCCCAGACCTTGAGATCAGACCCCTAGTCTTCTTGGTTCATCCCCAACCCAATACCACCATCCCGAGATCCATGAACCGAAGTGTCCAAATCCCTCAGCCTGAGGTACCTGCCTCCATTCTTCCAACCTGGAGCTCCCCCCTCTCCTGAAATCCTCCAGGATGCCCCAATTGTGGTCTATACTTGAACTTACCACACGTCTCCCTTCATATACACTCAGGCCATCCTTGCTCTCCGATAACACTGCATGCTTCATAACGAAAGGGGCTCTACCTCTGTATCCCTCACAAGTCTCTCATACACTACTTCTGTACTCAGAAATACTCGATAAATATTTGACTTGACTCAAAGGACAAACCCGAAATGAGGAAAGAGTAAAGAGGGATTTTTCAATACACACACACACACACACACACACACACAGCCAGTTACATCACCACCTATTCTGTCCAGAACGTACTTTTGACCACAGGCAGCTTCGACAAACAGTCCCAGGTCTCATACCCTTTGGACCAGGAGGGTGCTGTCCCTCTGAGGCCTGAAGCTGCCCACATTCTGCAGGAAAATACAGATGTCACTATCCTGACACATAATCCCATGGTGCTCGTGGCTTTCAAAGTTCTTTCAGGTACATGATCATCTTATTTTATGCTCACAGTAACCTTGAGGTAAGGCCATGGGTTTCTGCTTCAGGGCTCTCACTGAGGACAACTGAATCACAGAACCAAGATTCAAAATTAAACAGATGCAACTTCCCAAAGGCAACCTTCTTCCCCCATCCCTCCAGGGATGTGGAAACTCGGTAGGTCAAAGTGCTAATCAGGGCCAATGGAAGCGTATACTAGAATTCAAGCACTGGAGAAATGAAGGAAAGGAACTTTAGAGCCAGCTGCGTCCCAGAGTCATTATAGAGCTTCCTGGCTTGGTATGGAGGTCCTACCAAGACTAGCTAAGAGTTCTAGAATCAGACTATCTGTGTTAAGTCCCAGCTCCAGCAAACTGCATCATTCTGGAACCAATGTGCTATTCTTGGTGCTTCTGGCTTTGCACAGTGGTGGTATCACAGCCAACGAGCTTTATCCAAGGTGTGACTATTGCTTCTTGAAAACCTGGTGCCTCTGCATCCTCACTGTTACGAAAATAATAATCATAATACTCTCCTTCACAAGGTCTGGAAGCTCAATTGAAACAATGCATATCAGGTGCTCAGCCACGCCTTGTGTGTAGTCAGAGCCCAGTGAATGTAAACTACTGCTTTTCCTACTGGTAGTCGAAGGTTCAAATCCCAAACCAGAGGTTCTTTCCTCTTAGGAGTAAGAGACCTCTCTGAGAATCTGATAAAAGCCATGAACCCTGTCTCAAGAAACACGTGAACACACAATTTTGCAGACCATTTCAGGGGCCTTTTATGAGTACCATACTAAGAACTCATATCCAAGAAAGACAAGTTCATGCCTAGCGGGCATGTGGAACTCCTACCCTTCACCATCCCTGGTGTTACAAGTCAGAGAAGGCTAAGGAGTAAGGGTGTGTATGAACACGAAGAGACTGACTCTCTAAGTACCCTCCTTACAGTTAAGAGAAAGGAAACCAGATCGTCCAACAAACTCCACCCCACGTCCCTCTCCTGCCTCCACCCCAGCTTCTTGTCTTGACTCTTATACATCCAATTATGAACTACTGGGACAGCATCACAAAACTGAAAGACAGTGTTTCTTTCTCTCTCAGGCAGTGGGGAGGACGAGAGTGGGTGGCAGTAAATAAAAGGCAACCGCACTGGCCAGTCACAGCTGCTGGCAGGAACACCACCAGCTCCCTCCCAGTCCCTGGCCAGTCAGAGATGCACTCTGTATGGATGGGGGTGGCGGGGGAGGGGGAATAGTTAAAACCACAAACACATACAAGAGAATGGGACTATTTCTCACAGCTCGAGCCCTCTTATGGGGAACATAACCTTCAAGCTCAGCCTGACTGTTAACCAGCCTTGCAAGTAACAAATCCCAGCTAAAGCTTTTTCCAAAGGCAGCTCTTTTCTCCCAGGCTCCAAAGCTGGCCAAGAAGGTGATCTCAATTCAAACCCACATTCCTTTGGGGTATCTGTGAAAGGAGCAGCTTTGCAGACCAGCAGCTGGAATGTCTGGTTTGCAGACAGGGATCTGGGCAAGGGCGCTGTGTCGACTTTCCTGGGGAGTTTAGAGGGAGGACTAGAGTTGGGGCTAGATGGGGGAAGGCACAGGTGTCCTATCCCCAGTCTCAAGGAGGGGGAACTGCCTGGGACCTCCCCAGCATCCTTCTGGCTCAGAGCCTACACAGGGAAGGCTCGAAGAACACCAGAAAAAAGCAGGGGAGGAACAAGGTTACATCCCAGATGCCTAGGGTACAACAGCTGCTTCAGCTTTTATGTAAAACCCTTACAATCCCAGAGCTTTCCCTGTTTCCTGGCATCTTCATCAAAGACATCAAAAAACTCACGAGGCTTTTGTATGCCTGGTACACGGTACATGTGAGACCCCAGTGTAGCAGCCTCCATGCAACCCATGCGGTTGCCACAGGACTGTGGTAAACAAAGAGAGCACACACTGGAAATCACATTTCCAAACTAGAGAGAACGGACTCCAAGCAGAGTTCACCGCCTTGACACAGCACCAGAGAAACAGATCTCTAAATAGAAAAAACAAACTGAAATAGTTCTCAAAGTGTGTAGGACTCTGTGTACAAGGTCATTAACCACAACATTTTTGGCAACAGTGAAGAACAGAAGACATCCCAATGGCCATCAACAGGGTTTAACCTGGAATTTGAACACAGTGAGATTCAATGTTAAGGAGAATGAGGTCAAGCTATTAGTAACTAGGGGGGCTTCCCTGGTGGCTCAGGAGGTAAAGTATCCACCTGCAACCTAGTAGACCCCAGTTCAATTCCTTGGTCGGGAAGATCCCCTGGAGAAGGGAATGGGACCCACTCCAAAGTTGTTGCCTGGAGAATCCCATGGAGAGAGGAGCCTGGCTGGCTACAACCCATGGGGTCGCAAAGAGTCGGACACGACTGAACGACTAAACATGCACATAAGTAACTAATATGCATCAAGCAAATCAGGTATCTTTAGTTTTTAAAAAGAAAACCCACCTACTAGCATCACCAGGCTTTCCAGGTGGCACCAGTGGTAAAGAATCTATTTGCCAATGCAGGAAACATAAAAGACACAAGTTCAATCCCCAGGTCAGGAAGATCCCCTGTGAGGAGGAAATGGCAGCCCACTCCACTATTCTTGCCTGGAGAATCCTATGGACAGAGGAGCCTGACTGGCTACGGTCCACAGAGTTGCAAGGAGACAGACAGAACTGAAGCGACTTAGCACGCACTTGTATCACATTTCCATTCCTCTATAACCTGTTTCTATCTCCTCAGAGTCGGAGAATATGAGAGTCGACTATCACCTTCAGACGTCAATGTGAGCCTCCATCAACCTGGGGGTTCCCTGGGAAAGGCACCACTTCCCCTCCACCAGCCATTCTCCCCCACACATACCAGTCTTGGCCCATGGTTGGGCCCAAGGACAGCCCTGCAGAGAACAGACATTAATCCAGGGAAGCTCTAGTACAAGTTCCTCTGTTTTTGATGATTCCTAAAAAGAACTTGAGGCATCAACCCAAGTTTGATCTCTTATCTCAACAACAGCTCTCTCTGTCCTGTGGCTCTGCAATCCACCCTACATTGTGCCCTCACTACTCACTATGAATCTAGTCAACACTTCTGAAAAGGCAATCCATTCTACAGTTCTTTTCCTCCAAGTAAGACCACCCCTAAACCTG